AACCCGGAAGTAACCAGCCAGTGCCAATTCTCTTCAATTAGACATTCTCTGCCCCTACAGAGACCTAACCACGATCTCGCGCGACTCAACCATACGCGCCAACCCGTTTGATAATGGCTGTCGAGCCCCACTGGTGCGTTAATGCAGTTTCACTGGCAACGGTTCCGTATGGCATACCGCCTACCGCAAAACACAATATCTGCCCAACCACCGTCATTCAAACAATATACACAGGAACGTAATGACTGTAATTACAATGCTACCTATACAAACAGACTCTTCAAGAATTTTACGAAACCGAAGCGTGGCGGCCTGTACACCGCCAGCTAGAATCTTTCGTCTCAACCACAGCCAGTTGTTGCTCCTCTCTGCTGCTTCAGATCAGTTCTTTACTGTGCGACGCAACTCTTGGCCACTGAATCCGACGTCTCTGAGGAACCGGGTTGTAGAGTGTGCCACAAATCCTCAACAACCCACTTCCACCGGATAAACCTGGACTCTCTGGAGAAAATAAGATTTTGAAATAACAAAGCTTATTTAAGTCTGGTCCTATAATCTTTAACACAGTTTTCCCCACCAGGAATGGTAGTTTTAGTGATTCTGTGGTGCTGATGTACAGAAGCAAAGCCTCATTCAAGGGTTTCTATATGTTGGCAGATGTCCATCAACACAGCACAGCCTCCAGTGACTCCGCTTTATGGTGTTTCATCCGTAAACACCAGCAGCAGGGAATGAAGACTTCACATTGTTCTCATCTTTACCACTGACAGACACTGATCTACTCAGCTGTGGCGCCTCCTAGCGGTCAAACATGCACAACACTGTCCAAAGATGCAGCACCCTTCAGTCATGAACCTGACATGGTCTGCCATACTTTTTATTTGTTTTTTTTTTTTCTGTTAACTTTGACCCTAAAATTAAAAAAATAATTGGAGGGTCTGCTCTGCTGGAAATATCACGAAAAAAAAATCTGGGCATTTTAGTGTATAGCCTACACTCTTAAGTTTTTATCAGAAAAAAATGTGAAAAATTATTTTTTTCATCAAATCCTTAGTGGATTGATAGGCTGTCAATAAATGCATTCCAGATACACAGAACACATGTGCGATGCACTTGTATCATGGATAGATGCACTTTTATGGACTTTCAAAACAGAAGCAACCATTTACAGCCAATATAAAGCTTGGAAGGGCCAGGATATTGTTTAATATAACTCTGATTGTTTTCATCTAAGAGAAGAATGTCATATTGCCCATATTGTCTTTCTCCGGTGTGGTGAAGAGATGAGTCCCCCTGAAGAGATGGGTCCCACCTTAGGACTCCATAGTATGCCAGTAGTATGCCTGATCTAAATATGTTCTCACCATAGACATACACTAGACCTCACCTTGGGGCTCTAAGCATGCGTCAAGGCACTAAGCGTTTACCCATAAAACTAGCTTTGAACCAATCGGATCGCTTGGTGGTCCTAAGGTGGGACTCATCTCTTCAGGGGGACTCATCTCTTCACCACACCGGCTCCCTTTTTTTTTTGTTGTTTTTTTCATTTTATCTATTTTTGTACTTGATGTATCCCCTGTGATTTGTGTTCAATTAAAAAAAAAAAAAAAAAAAAACACACCGGCTCCCTGCACCGGCGTAAAAAGAAACCGGAAGTGTCCGACCGCACACTCACGGATCAGAAATCCAAAAAAGGCTATATGCCCACACTGTAAAAAATTTCTTGTCAAATTAACAGTAACTTACTGGCAACAATTATCCAGTACTTGCTGTATTTCATTTAACAGTAAAATTACCGTAACACTAACTACAGTACTGTTAAGCATACTGCAAATTAAATAACATTATTTTACTGTAATTTCTTACCATATTAAAGTACAGAATTACACTGTTAATTTTTTATAATACTGTATAGTATTAAATGTTATTGTATTTATTTTATAGTGCTACTGTGTAACCTGTAGAAAATCCGTAGAAATATTATTTTAACTGTTAATGGGAAATAGAAAAAAGAACAATTGAAGCTTTAACTGCACAAGTTTTAATGTGTATTTTCAAACACATTAGTACATTTACATAATATACATTTAAATACATTAATACAATTAAATACATTAATAATAAAAATGTAATATAATACAATAAAAATCATGCATGACAATCATGAACAATTATGCATAAATACATGCAAAAATTATCATGAACAGGTAAAATAGAAAAGATTAAAGGGGTGCTATCTGATCAATCTATTAGAAAGATAGTTCATAACAACTCATCCACCCACTCCCTGCTGGGGTAAAACAGCTTAAACTAGTCTAAGATTGTCTATTGGTTTGAGATAGACTGTCTAACTGGTCAGTTGCTGATTTTAAAGGGTTTTTGGCTGCTTTCTATCTAAGAGACCAGATTTGCAGTGCTGGGAGACACATATAAACTAGCTTTGACAAGTAAACCACCAATCCAGATGAGTATTACAAAATGACAAGTTATCCAGTGTCCTTTAAAAAAAAAAAACTAAACACAAAACAACCTCATCATGCACATGTGCCATGAAAAACTTGCATTACGGTATTAATAATCATTTATATGCAGACTTATGTTCTAACTTTTGCAATAGGAAGTTTTCTATCCAAGCTTTTATGCAATTAAACCTTAAACTGTACAACAACATTTATTTTCACACAACAATTCTTAACAACTTGCAGATAGACAAAATTCACAGATGGATAATAATCCGTTTAAAATGTTCTCAGTGGGTCAGTACTGGACCAAGGTATAGTAGTAGTAGTTAGATAAATAGAATAATTAAATTAGATTAGATTTACAATTCATCGGTCGTCAAGATGGATAGGGGTCTTCTTAACATGCACAGCTCACACCTGTGGAAAAGGAGAACAGACAAGACAGTTAAAATACAGTACGTTTTTGTTGTTGTTGTTTTGGCTAAACAGCAAAAACAGACAAAATGATGTCTAAAGTGTAATTCACTTAATACTAAAATCTTGTTTGTTGGACTGTTGTTTAAAATCAATTGTTAAAGTATGTTCATTATGTCCTCGGTTGTATGCTGTGTAATATAATACAATGCTATACTGTTCAGTGTTGTGCATATGTTTATGCCACAAGAGGGCACTAAAGTATAGGCTATGGAGGATGCGTTTGTATTATTATTATGTTTGTCCAAGTTGATTTACCGTAGTTAAGAGGATCATATTACTGAGAGAATCTTCATTACTATCTGTGCTGTTAGTTCGACCGTGAGACTGATGTGTCAACAGCTGAAATAAATATGCCAAGAACGGCTAAAGATAACTCATCTCTATCGTCCACTCTTTTCTTTTGAATGCAACGCAAGCTGAAACATAACTCAACATCACGTGAAAACGTAGGTTAAATCTTGCTTGTGTGATACATGACTTAAAAAAAGATTGACAAGGCATCGTTCCCTTCAAATGAGTAGGCTACATGTCAGTTTACACATAGTTAAAAAAAAAAAAAAAAAAAAAAAACAATGATATTATAGTCACACGTAGCTTTGTATTTTGGACAAAAATACACCTGGGCGCTTTCCGTGGTCCATCAGTTATCACTGAGGTAGCAGTAACGTTAACGTTAAATGGCGGAACGCCAGGTCAGGATTTACACGAAAATAAGCGTGAAAAAATCAATAAGAGGAATCGGCACTATAATTTTATAACAATAAATCCGAATCCTAACCTTGGATGTCCGATTTCAGGATACATTTATCGATTAGCAATTCCTAACCCCTAAGTCATAAAATAATGAACGTGCAGGCGCTTCCACCGACTTAACGTGGTAAAAAACAAAATGATTAGACCATTTTGACCGTATAAGAGGTTACATATGAAATATATGTCAATAAAATCACATTAAATCAAGTAAGGCTATCAACATAAAAGAAATCCGCGTCTGACTTATACAGACGTAGAACATTCCGCGGCCACTTCTTTCTAACGTTAACGTAAGTAACTCATATGGTTTGCATAAAAATATGAATTACTAACCAGATGTATGGCGAAAACGTTGCCGACCGACAGCGACGCGATGCACGGCCTGCGTGTTCTTACAGAGGGAAGGGAACTGAAGAGTTCTTCATAAAATGGCAGCTTGTTGTGGTTATTTTTCGCGGTCATTTCGTACTAATGTATTTGAATTTACAGTAATATCCCAAATGGCTACATTGAAGAGTAGCCTATCATATACATATTATATTAAAATGTCTAGAATATATTAAATTGAATATAGAAATCGTGGTCAGCTATTCTAAATAACTTTAAAGTTATTAGCTAGAATCCGTTTGCATACACATTATAAGAATTATATTACTTACCAGATGAAGAAGTTGCAGGTCGGCAGAAAAGACAGCAGCACCACTGACACGACAGAGAAACTCTTCCAAAGTCAAATATGCTCTCATGCACACCCCACTGACATAAATTATGTCATAAATTATGACTGTTAATGGTCAACCAGTGCTACATTTTTATTTTAAATGTAAGAATAACATTAGTAGGCTAGCAATTTTACCCGTGGAACTGTGTGTGGTGTTTTTCGCGGTCAATTGCACTGCTGTATTTAGATTAACAGTAACTGATAATTTCCCAGAATGCATTGCAATTCTACAGTAACATACTGTCAACTGTGTGCACAGTACATAACTGTTGAAAAAACAATTTAATACTGTGAAAACAACTAAATCTACTGTAACTTACTGTACATAGATTATACAGTAAGAAACTGTTGAGAAAAACAGTATAATCCTGTGAAAACAACAGAAATCATTTACAGTGCAGCTGCACTACTTCCTGAACTTCAGCCAGCTCCTTGTTTCCTGCCTGCCATTATTGGACAAACTTGATTAATTCAGGTGTGCCTGATTATTGTTGCCTTGACTACTGAGGACAAGCACACCTGAATTAATCAATTTGGCCAATAATGGCAGACAGGAAACAAGGAGCTGTCTGAAGTTCAGGAAGTAGTGAAGCTGTGCATATAGCCCATTGTGGCCACGTGCAACTAGCGGAGATGCTCCACTGATGATTGACTGTGTTGCTATATCTTTTTTGCAGGTAAGATTACTTGAGTCTATTATAAGTCAAAGGGGTCCACGAACAGTTATGTTTAGTATTTGAGTATTTAGGATTTATGTTTGTGATGGATCTGCCATGTGTTTTGGCAATTACATCTCAAAAAAAATAGTCCATTGCCACAAACCAGGGAGCAAAGTAGTCTTCACTTGTGATGTTTATTAAATCTTGCTTACACAAGATAAAAAGTGATCAAGCCTCATTTGAGAGGAAAAGGGCGAAAAAATTTGTAACAGTTAAAAACAAGAAAGTCCAAAAATTATGTTCCATTCAGGTTACATCACACGAAAAAGCCAGTGTAGCCTACAAATTGGACATAGTTGGGCTTGAGCCTCTCAAACTGACAGAGGACAAAATTCAACACAACCTTTCCCAGGGTACATTAAGTAACAACCCCTCTAAACAAACATACACTGAATTTATAGGAGGTGGCCATCACCATGAAACCAAAGAAGGGGGGAACATTGCCATACAAAATTTCACAACAATAACAACCCAAACCCTGGAATCAAAACAATACATTTAACTAAATTTAGAGCCAAGGATAAATTATAGTTAATGCAAAAGAATCATATTAAACAAACATCACATTGATCAAGACATCACATTTTCCTATGTCCCCTCTAATACATCAGAGTTGGTACGGTTTAATTTCCTTTAGTATTCCCATAAAACAGATCAACTTCCTGTTTGAATCTCTTTGTCACCAGGCTGGGCCATGCCACAACACAACAGGTACTAAACATTTGAAGTCATCTTCATTACAAAATGAAACGTTTAAGCTATGTGTTTATAGATCACATTTTAGCCAAAAATGAATTTTAGCAGGTTTTGTTTTAATCTTAAGTCAAATAAGTAAGCCCCTACACTGACTCAATACAATGACAAATAAAGATCTTAAACCAAACCATAGTAATGTCCTTTTATTTATCACCAAATTGTGTGGCTTAAATACTGGCCATCACAATGTTAAGTAACGTAAGTTTTGAGCACGAAATTGTTATCACCCGTGGATAGAGTGATCAGAAACAACGCGGCAATGAAACTTACTTGTGTGAAACGATAATTGGTATTATGCAATCGAGATGGAAAGACAGTATGCACAGTACTGTTATTTAGAGGTTGTGTGATATTGATGGGTAAAATAATAGTTTAAGTGACGCGACCCAGACAGCAAACTGACATTGAATCAACGTGGAAACGACGTCTCTCATGACATTGAAACAACGTTGATTTGCTCATCGAATTACCGTTGAACCAACATCAGACGTGGCATTCTTCAAACCTAAATGAAATCGAAAATTGGTTTGCTTTCATAACGTTGAAACAACGCGTTGATTTCAAGTTGATTTTCCGTTAGTTTTGAAAGAATGACGCGTCTGACGTTGGTTCAACGTTAATTCGATGAGCAAAACAATGTCAGATCAACGTTGTTTCGATGTCATATTTCCACGTTGATTCAATGTCAGTTTGCTATCTGGGGAGTTCAGTAACACACGTGGAGTTCGCGGGTGTCCGCCATTTTGCGCAAGTTGCATGCAGCGGGGACATTAGAGTTAAAGGGCAACTAATAATATTTTAACATTAGACCACTTTTATTCTTTCAGTATACAGTCTGTAACAATCTGTTTTTAGCAGCAAAATGTCAGTGTATTTTAAAATGTCAGTGCCATCGTTTTGTCTCAAGATGCACATTAGTAATGTTTTTTTTTTTGTTTTTTTTTGAAGGACCGCACTTGCGGTCTTTGCACTTGTGTACTTGCACGATGTAGGTATTTCCAGCATTTAGCCCAAGTGTTCAAGTAGGTGTGATGACTAGAACTTTTGATTACCCAATGGGACACACTTATAGTGACACAAAAATGCAAGTGTTTACAGAGCTTTATTTACATTTTTTAATTCTTTGCATTTTTAAATCGATGTCTGGTTAGTAGTCCCAATGTAACAAAAGGCATAATTAAAAAATATGGTGCTTTTAATTAAGTGATTTAAAAAGCAGCTGCAAATGTGCAAAAATACACATACCATACTCATCTTTGCAACATTATAATGACACTTTAACAATGTGTTTTTCTGCCAAATTACACGTAAAATGTAGTTCATTTAACTTACAGTGGAATGTTTTCCTCATCATCTTGTGATTTCAGTGCATGTGAGTTCCCGCACCTAATGCATGATGGGATACGCTCCAATGCGGTATTCAAGATAGTGTACATTTAGTGTGTGTTCAGGGCATTGCGCGGATAGTAACAATCGGTTTTGAGTGTAGTTCACCCAAAATGAAAATTACTGTATGCAAAAAAATTCAAGTTTATAGAGTTTTAGTGTCGGTGGTACTACATTAAACTACTGTATTATGTTGAGTATAATAAAGCAATGAGGAGATATTTGTCAGTCCTGATAATGCCAAATGTCCTATGTTACCAATACAATTGCAAGCATATTCATCTAAATATAATTCAGCTTCAGAATCATGACTTCTTTTTATTCCTGTGTCTGTGGTCCTGTGCATTGGTTTCCCAGCACCAAGTCCAAACCTTTTCATTTCCACTCCCAATGTAATACCAAATTTAGCATTTTAATCAACAGTAATTTCTTTGTTTACCTTTTACCATATGTCTTGCAGTATCGCAATATCATTCGATATTCAGAGTTCACTATTATGATCTATATCGAATCCTAACATGAGGGTATCGTTACACTCCTAGCCCAAAAGCTACTTAAATGCCCTAATTGAACAAAGGCCTATTCCTGGCTTAATCCAAGCCCTGTCTGTGAAATCAGACCTTTGAGATTAATTAACTTAAAAGTTACTTTACTAGATAGAAAAGGTGGGCATAAACATTTAAAATGTGTAAATTAGTATAAAAACAAACTCAGTATGTGTTTTCTTATTGATTTTGTCAGATTTCCTCCTTCAGTGATGCTCCTCCTCCTCCAGTGAAACTCCTCCTTCAGTGAAGCTCCTCCCACTGCAGTTCACCAATAAACGCTGGAATATTTCCCTCAGCTACAAGTGAAGAGGAGCATCAAACCATCAGGAAGAGCTTACACAAACACAGAGTTTATTGAAGGACACTGAGAACATGAGATCCAGAACACTGCAGAATGAAACATACTGAAGAACAAAGAGGTTGGTGTTAATTCTTGATTCTGTATTAAAGGCACAGTATGTAAGTTTCGCCACTAGAAGTCGCTTATTCTAAACAAAGGCGTAGCTTGATGATGCCGTGAATGAGCGTGGAATCATTGGAGGTCTCCAACCGACCACCGCTTCGTCAGGGCGACCGGCCCCCCGCCCACTGACCGGTCCCCGGACACGGCCCCGTCCCACGAACCCACTATTTGTCCAATAACCCACTATATTTTTTTTAAGTTTTTCCGCAGTTCATTTAATATGCTGCAATTGGACGCGATCCCACCGGCAATCTATTGAATGGGGATTCGGGTAGTATTTTTGATAGACATTTTAATTAAAGTTTCTGTCGTGATAACTATTTTCCCGCACTCAGGAGACCCCCCCGGGGTCCGTAGCACCAAGCGCCGTCGCAGTATCCACTGTCCGCGAACCCACTATTTGTCCAATAACCCACTATTCTTAAATGTATTAACCCTGGCCTTCATGCAATAAGCTGCAATTGGACAGAATCCCGCCTGCAATCTATTGAATGGGGATTTGGGTAGTGTTTTTTTTGGACATTTTTATTAAAGTTCCTGTCATGATAAAAACTATTTTACTGCACTCAGCTAGGGCCCCTGAGTCCGTAGCACCAAGCGCCGTCCCATAATTCCACCGACCACGAACCCAATGGCATAAATGCTACGTGGGATCTCAAAATCTCAGCTCTGGAAGGGTCTAGAGCCTCCATTTTTGCACTCAGGTCTAAGTCCCATGGCCCTCTAGCAGAATCCAGAGTTTCAAGAAGATTGGAGAAACTTATTTTTTGCACCAAAAAAAAAAAAAAAAAAACGACAGGGGTACCACTGTCGTTTTTTTTTTTTTGGGGGGGGCAAAATTTTGAGTTTCTCTGATCTTCTTTAAACTCTGGATTCCGATAGAGGGCCATGAGACTTAGACATGAGTACAAAAATGGAGGCTCTAGACCCTTCCAGAGGTGAGATATTGAGATCTCACGTAGCATTTATGCCATTATAAATATCTCAATATCTCAGCTCTGGAAGGGTCTAGAGACTCCATTTTTGTACTCATGTCTAAGTCTCATGGCCCTCTATCGGAATCCAGAGTTACAATCCAGAGAAGATTGGAGAAACTTATTTTTTGCACCCAAAAAAACAAAAATTTTGAAAAATTTTGAGTTGCTCTGATATAGGCAAGGTCTGCTCTCTCCCACGCACGTTTACCGCTTTACCGTTAACCGTTTTATACCTCGACGGTTTATTTTCCAGGAGTTATTTTTCGGCTTAAGCAAAATGTGGGTTTCTATTATACTCCAGCGGCAAAGCACAGCTAAAGCCTTTAATATCCATTTATGAAGATATTCATTTCATATTCAGCGAAATTCATAAGGTAGAAAATGTTATTATAGAGCCCATGAAAGCCAAAATGAGCCAATTGAGAAAGAAAGTTTGCATGTGCCTTCTGTGAGCACCGTCTCTCCAACCAAATGCCGAAAGTATTTTTTTCCAAAAGGAAGTCTACTGTTTTCATGACCATTGTCTTTTCACACAAAATGACTTGATTATCTGAAAACCTGATTAGCAAAGCCCAACTCGTGCCATAGGTTGCAGTGTAGGGCTGTATTTTCATACCTGTAGGTCATTTTCTTTGTTCTGTTACGGCAAAAATCCTTTCCAACATCATCACTGCTCAAGAGACACTCAGAGTCAAATTAATGAAATAAAAGAAGTACTTTATTCTTGCAAGAAGGTTCAGTCTGACACAGAAGTAACGCTGTGGTGAGTGACACCCAGTCTGCCCCCTCCACACAGCTTTTATACTCAAACTCAAGGTTTCAAGTTGTACAAGTTAGCGCCTGATAAGGAAGTCTTACACTGCTGCAGAAAAGGTCAGCACTTGCTGACCGGCCCAGTCGGGATGACATCTGGGGTCAAAGGTCTTCTTTCCACCTGTTTCCCCATGCATGTTCCTCACGTAGGACTCGTAAAAAGCACATGCTGTACTCATGCATTTTGCTCAACACAAATCTATTTCTATCAAATCATTCATTGATCAACTTCTAATAATTAACTCTTAATAATTACTATAGAGTCAAGCTAACTTAAAATTTTTCCACAACAGTTCTGAAGCACGGATTTAATTTTTACTCGTTCGGTTTGCTTTCACAAGGCAACATTTCAAAGCGTACCAAAATGTGTTTATGCAAGCCACGTGTATAATATGATCGTCTTATTGGTCAGAGTTCAACCAAAGAGTATAGAAGAACAAGAAGCAAAACTCTGATGCTTTTTTGGTAAAAGCCACTAGGTGGCGCTTCAGGAGCGCGGCCGCCATTTTGGGGTGAAAATTCCAACTGGAGTTACTGGACAACAGCATAGATAACAGTTTTTTGAGGTAGTTTTTTCTTCTAATTTTTCCCAAGCGGCAAAATTCTAATCTGAAAAATGAAGCCTACCCGGAAGTGGGAAAAACTGCAATACATCGAAAATCCGCTAGAGGTCGGTCCCAAAAGGGGGTGAATATCCATAGACCTCACATTAAAATGTCCGTTTTCACAGCATCAATTCATATGTTTACAGTTTGACTTTTATTGTATTTTTCGATAGGTTCCGAGTGCCTGACAACAGTGAGGTGAGTGAATTTTTTCTAAGTTTAGATCGTATTTGGATGTAAAATGTATGAAAAATAAGGGCGGTTAACTTTGATTGACAGCTGATAACGGGCTGCGCCGAGTGGAATTGGACGTCTTGGCCATGATCTGACACGACGCATCTCTGTATCCTTTCTGAAACATTTGTATTTCTGAACATTTGTATTTTGTATTTCTCAAGATTTTCTAATATGGCGCCGCCCATACCCCCCATAAACAGCCTCAAACCTGTTCTTCAGAAAGTCTATGAGTGACGTCACAGACGCTTTGTCCATTTTTTTTTACAGTCTATGGTATTTCCATTGTATGCAACTTTACACATTTACTACTTATATTAGTTACCATCTCCATTAGGCCTGAAATATATTTTGTACGTTTTAATCCCCTGGATCATGCTACAAACATGATGATCATTGATGCGCTGTGTCCGTTATCCTATAACTTTAATTGCCACTTTGAACAGTGGCTGTGTTTTTCTTGTTTACATAGTTTTGTTTTAACGGTCATTAATATAAGATAATACTTCAAAATACTTGTGTTGCAATGGAGCGTTCACTTCTTGTCAATATACGTTCTTTGGTTCAACCGTTTTCATTCCTCAAGATGGACAGAGATAATCGCTCCACTGGCTTTGTTTACAACTGTCTGCTGAATGTAGCCTTGATTCCTGCTCTGCCTGATAAATTAAATATTAAAAAATATATTACATTTATGAAGCAAGTTAGGCTTTGTCAAGACAGCATTCTTGCAACACGGAATCCTGCACACGTTTCTCTTATGAACTGTCTGAGATTCATTCTTTGATAACACGTTACTTGAAGGGGTATGCATAAGACTAACATGACGTATGTTATGAATATGAAGGAAGGTTTATGCATGTTTGTGACTACTGTCATTAAGTGTCTTTTGCTCAGTTATGAAAGTTTTAATGCAAATATGACATTGTTTGAGATGTCTTTGTTATGACACCTTGACATTACCAAGCAGGGATGGAAATCAACTCTTTTGTCCACCGGCGGCCACTGTGGATTTCTAAATCGACCAGCCACTCGACGTTTTTACTAGCCACTTTCTTGTTTTTAACCGACAATGTGTAACTGGTAACACTTTACAATAAGGTTCATTAGTTAATGTATTTACTAACATGCACTAACCATGAGCAATACATTTGTTACTGCATTTGTTCATCTTTGTTAATGTTAGTTCATGAAAACACAGCTGTTCATTGTTTGTTCATGTTAGTTCACGGTGCATTAACTAATGTTAACAAGATTTTAATCAAGTATTAGTAAATGTTGAAAATAACATTAACAAAGATTAACAAATGCTGTATATGTGCTATTCATTATTAGTTCATATTAACTAATGTAGTTAACTAATGTTAACTAATGTAGTTAACTAATGTTAACTAACGAAACTTATTGTAAAGTGTTACCGTGTAACTGCATGTGAAAGTTAATGTGTAACTGCATGTGAGAGTTAATGTGTAACTGCATGTGAAAGTTAATGAGTAACTGCATGTGAAAGTTAATGTGTAACTGCATGCGAAAGTTATTTAGTAACTGCTGTGAAAAGTTGATGTGTAACTGCAGTGAAAGTCTATGTGTAACTACAGGTGAAAGTCGATGAGTAAAGTGCATGTTACTGTTGATGAGTATCTGCAGATGAAGTTTATGAGTAGCTGCAAGTGGAA